CACATGGTCCCAACCAGGCAGCACAAACTACACTTTAAAAACGCCAGCCTGTGGGCCTTTCATCGAGCCTTCCTTCATTCACTGCCAGCTGGATGTGAGCAAGTGTCGTGGAGGCTCCCGAGCCTTAAAGCATCTCAAGGCTCATTCTCTGGCTCCATCTTCAGTGAAGAGTCCTACAGGGCTCAAGAAAGACCATGACTCTCTTTGTTACTTAGAAAAGTTTTATTTAGGGGACATCAAAGCACAGAACTAAAGCATCATTTGCTGCTATCTACAGACACACAGCTTCTTTAGGGGGACATCAGTATAGGGTGGCAGGTACTTCCCAGGGAAGTACCGAGTTCAGTGGTATAATAAGCTTTCAGATGTGTTCTTCACAAGATTCTTTTCTGACACCGTTCTCACATTCTGTACTTTGTGGGACGAAAGTGAGGATGAACTTGGTGTTTAAAGTCGTTCTTCATTGGCCCAGTGTTTTTACCAAATGAAACAGAAAAAACAACATACATATTTTTCTTAAAAGGTTTCAGAAAAATGTAATCATTAGAAATTTAATTTAGACTCCACCCAGCAGAGGATCTAAGCAGATGCTAATACTCACAGGCAAACTTTGGGCAGAGCGCAGGGAGACTTACATAAGAGTGGGGAGATAGAAGGACCCAGAAGGGAAGGAGCTCCTTAAGGAGACCAACAGAGCCAACAAATCTGGGCCACGGGGGGCCTTTAGAGGCTGATGCACCAACCAAGGACCACGCATGGGGAGGACCTAGACTCCCTGCTCAGATGTAGTCAATGGGCAGCTCAGTCTCTCCCTAGTAAGGAGAGAAGGGGCTGTCTCTGATATGGACTCTGTTGCCCAATCTTTGATCACTTCCCCCTGGTGGGGGAGCCTTGCCAGGCCACAGAGGAAGAGGATGCAGGTGGGAGGAGGGCTCCCCCTTTCTGAGAAATAGGGGAGGGGGAGGGAGGAAGAGATGGAGGGTGGGGCCAGGAGAATATGAGGGAGGGGGCTAAAATCAGCATGTAAAGTAAATAAATTACAAAAAAATAATTTAAATAAAAAAAGAAATTTAACTTAGCTGGGCACAGTGGCTCATGCCTTTAATCCCGGCACTAGGAAGACAGGTAGGGCCAAGCGAATCTCTGAGTTTGAGGCCAGCCTGGTCTACGAAGTGAGTTCCAGAACAGCCAGGGCTACACAGAGAAACCTTGTCTCAAAAACAAACAAAAAAAAACCTGTTTCAAACACACACACAGACACACACACTACCACCACCACCAAAACAAAAAACTGAAGAAGAAGAAAAGAAAGAAAGAAAGAAAGAAAGAAAGAAAGAAAGAAAGAAAGAAAGAAAGAAAGAAAGAAATTTAACTTATACACAGAACACCACTGTACTGAATGCCACTAAAGTGCAATTACGGTGTTTTTAAAAGACCAACTTGTTGTCAAGTGGAGCGGATTGTGTTTGTTTTTCTTCGGAACACTTATCACACTGCAGATTCCTACAGTTTTCTCCTGTGGTTGAGTAATGGAAAAAGTACCACAAGACACAAGAAACTTTGTACCTTTCAGGAATCTAAGAACAATTACTGATTAAAATCTACATGCTTCGGTGACAAAGTACTTTACAGCTAAAAAGATCCAGAAACACAATACGTCTAATTTGATTCAGGCAGGAAAACCAACTTTGAATTAGCACCTATTATATTCCACAGCTGACACAATAGCATCTCTGTCAATCTTCTAAAAGAGGTTCCGATGTTCTTGTGAGAAATAAGGCCAAAATGCCAACAGCTGCCCCAAAGGAGCCATTCACCTCAGCACCCACAGACAAAACATTAATTGGTAATTGCGAATTTTAACCACTGCTCCTTTAAGAGGTTAATTCTGCATTGCTGAGACAGGACCTTAAGACTCTCACTTCCCCAGTCACTGCCAGACAGCCTTGAACTTACGCTGAACTCGGAAAGTGGTCACGACTCATCCCAGATCAATAGCTAAGAATCTAAGAACGGCCAGTGTGTACAGGGAAAGACTGTTTGTAACACGACTCTGTTCTACTAGTCAGCACAAGAAGCTTTAACTGCTACCCTCTCCGGTGGGGGACCACATGCCTTTTAAATCAGATCCTAAATGCCAACACACTAAGGCTCCCTACTGTTTCCCTTGCTTGCTCACTCAACCCGTGTTTACAGAGCTCGTGGTGTGTCTCAGCCGCTGATTTAAGAGTTGGTGGTACAGCAGCGAATCAAGATTCCTGACCTTTGTAGATCCATTTGTGCTGCTCTGACACATAGATTAAACCAAGCAGGATGTGTATCCTGAAAGGTGCAGCCATCCTTCTTTCAGTGGGGGCTAGTCTTGGAAAGGAAATGTTTACAGATGTTTACACACGTTAAAACATACATGCAAACCAGAAAAGTGGCAGTTTCTAGCCCCTAACAGTACCACTGGAAAGTGGTATGTTGTGCCCATCTCCCCCATGCTCCAGAGACACGGAACAGAAGGGAAGATAGGAAGGAGTTCGCCTTGTGACTCCAGGGTGTTGCCTAGTCTCTCCAGACCAGAGGCTGGCAACCTGAGTCTGACTCTAGCAACCGAAGGTGTGTAACGGAAAGGCAACCTTCTCTCGGAAGCATGCAAACATGACTCAATTAAGTGAACATACAGCCAGGTCTCACACTGCAGGCAACAGCTTTCTCATGGGCTAGGTACACTTGGCTCAGCGTGGAGCTTGCTCCTTGGCAAGCTACGACAAAATATGCGTCTGTAGCTTTAAAAATAGCCTCTATCCCGAGCTTGAGGGCCTCTATGCTGGAGGAGGCCTCTAAGCGTCCCTTGATAAAATTGCAAATGTACTAGAATTCCACTTCCAGAATGATCTGTGCTGCCTCTGCTGCCACACTGCTGTGTCGAACAGCAGTCCAGTAAGGAAAACAAGTCGTTTGCCAGGCCTTCAAGCAAGGTCAGTGGCCCCAGAGTGGTCGTTTAGGATGTCTGTAATAAAAGGAGAAGTCCTTACAAAAGCCTTCCTGTCATCGCTTGAGAAGTGCTCCAAGGCAGCAGGTCGGCAGAGGAAAGGGTTAACCTCCTAACTGCTGAGCATCAGCCCCTTAGAGTTCTAAATCCAGGTAGCACCACATGCCCACAGGCTGCTCCCTGGAAGGGAAGTAGAGAAGCCAGCTAGGCCCAACGGCTCAAAACCACGGATATTGCTTTATCCAAACCTCTCCAGAGAGGGTTCACGGCTGAAGATGGTCATCTGCCTCCAGGTGAATAGCAGACCCCATAAATCACCAGCTACGGAACTCAGGGCAGGAAATGGGCAGGGGGACCATACGATATGGTTCCTCCCAACACCACAGAGGGTTTCCTTCTTTCTGGAAGGGTCTTTATTGTGGGCATTCTATCTTCTCTTAGTGCCTACATATGTCTTTGCTACATCTCTAGGCACTGATGCCCTCAATATAGGACCTGCCTGCTCATATGTGTCACGGCCAGTACCAAGTGTGATGCCTGGGATGCTGTGGAGTTGTCTTGGGGCTCAGGGTGAGGATGGGAGGGTGAAGTGCAACAGGAACCCAAGCACACTTTCTGACCAGAGGATTACACACCATTAGGCTCAGACAGTTCCTGATCTTCTAACATAAAGTAGGAATTTTTACTGCCTCAAAGTACATGTTATGGGTAGGCTACAAGAGAGATGAAGCTTTTTGAAAAAAAAAAAATCCATATCCTAAAAAAAAATATTTTAAAGGTCATTTCGAAGATTTAAAAAAAAAAAACATACATACACATTGTGGAGAATGGTAATGGAATGTCTCAGACATGGCAATGTAAAAATATACAGTATTGGTTCCTTAGTTATCACTTCTCAGCCATACCGTAACTCAACAGAAAGAAACATCATGGACCTGTGCCATGCAGAGCACCCATGCAGAGCACCTAGTGCACTCCTGATACTTATGTGCGCTTTCCCACTCAGAAACTGCCATGAAACACAAACAAAACTGTTTTTTCTGTACATTCCCAACACACACAACCACTTATGTAACACCTGACCTCACAAAAAGCAATTAGATTAGGCAAACAATTGTCCCTAAGCTTGGTCAATAGTAAAGCAGGAGCTTCCCGAGGACGTTCATTTCAACAACACATTGAAAACGGGAAGGCCTGCAGACTAAAGAGTCTCCATTTAAAGTGGGAACACATAACGTGTGCACCTTGTCAGAATGGGCCAGGGTTAGTGAGTTCTAAGTCAGCATACATGTTTATACGGTCAGGCCCGTAGCTCACACCTGGAACCCCACACTTGGGGGGCCTGAGGGAGGAAGACTGATGCCATTCTGAGGGGCAGGCTGAGCTACAAAGCGGGACCACATCACAAAGCAAAGCTGCTTCTAAAGCAATGCCTGTATCTGTCCTCACCACCCATGTGTATAATTTATTCTGCAATTCTTATCAATGCTAGGATGTTCTTCTCAAATGACCTCAGCACATAAATTAATGTGCAATTTAAAAAGTTGGGCTTAAATTTAAATAATCTGCCTCCAAATGAATGGCAAAGGTTAGTGTAGTGTCAGCTCCGTGTTCTGTGCACACTGAGCAGAGTAACCCTCGCTGTGTTAACGTGACTCAATAAAATCCTGTCTTCCTATCTCGGGTGTCTTGACAACACCTATCAATCGCCACTACATTCAGGTTTCCCACTGGGCTGTTTCTGAAGCTTTCCTCCTGACAGTCACCACGGTATGAGCTGACACACTTCAGACTCTGCCTCCTCAGCTGGGTTCAGTGGGCACTGCCTCAGCCTGCTGTCCTGGCAGAGGGCAAGGGCAGGGAGCAGTGGTTAGAGGACAACAATTAGCTGAGGCTCACAAGTGACAGCAGAGCTTGCACATACAAGAGCTAAGACATCAGGTCATACCCAATTTAGGACACTGCCACACCGAGGCCCACTTCACTGGTAGGCCAGCAGTCAGTAAGGGCACACAGAGGGTATTACTAAATTATATCCTGGCATGTTTATTATTATCTCACCAAACAAAGTATCCCCAACGTGCTTGCTCTCTAGAAGCTCAGTCCAGAATGGTGTCTCTGAGGCTCTAGAACAGCCCTTCAGGGAGGACTTGGACTACGCCCACTTACTCATTTCCCTACTTTGTCTTGTGGGGCGTTCCTAATCCATCCTTTCATGACACCGTTGGCCAGTCTCTGACACAGTCTCTCTCAGAGACTGAGAGGACACACACCACATGGAAACCAGAAACATCTACTGCAAGCCACCTACAGATCCAATAGGGGTGCGTCAGCCACAGAAGCCACAGGCTTGAAACTCCAGAGCGAAACCATTAGCAAGATGAATTCAGAAGTCTCTGGCGAGAGTTCTTCTCCCCGCTGTTTGCCGTTGTTTCACTGCTCAGGTCCAAATCTGTCAAAATTAAAAGCGTTATTTATAAGGGAGGAAGAGTAGGGAGGACTCGTACTAACCAACTGTGAGAAGGACTTCTCAGACACATCATTTTCCCATGTCTACTTCTTAGTCTAAAGTCTTAAAAGTTACATCAAGGCAAGAAGCCAATAACTCCCTCTTTTAAAGAAAGAAAGGCAGACAGTGGCCGCTCTCTTGGTTATACATGAGGCCTGCTCCATAGGTGGGAATTCACACCTGTACAGCAACCATGGTCAAAGCCCACAGCTTTAGAGGAGGACCTACTACTGTTATTTTGCTAAACGGACATGTTATCAAATTCCCTTCTAAATGTTTATATTCAGATCAGCTGCCCTCAGCCTTGGCCAAAGAGCCTTCCTTGGGGTGGGCAGCAGCCAATGCAGAGACGCAGAACTGGTTAAAGTGCTGAGAGCTAGTAAGTGCTGCTGAGCACTCAGTCCTTAACAGGATATCTATAACCAGGCCCAAACCCCAACTCCAGGCTCAGGACACATCCAGTGAAGAGGAGCAAGGGGGCAGGGATTAAAGGCTGGCCTCTGAATATGCCATGACACTCATGAACTCACTGCAGCCATCATCTGCTACACAAGACAAAGCCTGCATGGTCAGTCACAAAATATAAAAAAGATATGAAGGTGGGCATGGGATATACCAGGTGCACAGATGTATCGGGGGAAGCTGGATACGACCAACATACACTGTAAACTGCTGGAGGAAAGTTCAACCACGTTTTCAAATGCTGATTTCAGTGCCTTGTCTGGTTACTGCCCTGCCACGGGCATTGTTAGGAATGTTGAATTATCCCCTGTAGCCATGTGATGAGAAGGAATGTTCCCCAATTATCCCTGATTGGCTAATAAAGATGCTGAAGCCTGTGACTGGGCCGGAAAGAGGTAGGTGGAGTTTTTGGTTCTCCGGCTTGGGTTTGAGAGGGGAGAGGACAAGGGAGAAAGCAGAAGAGGTAGAGGGGAGAGGAAGATGGAGAGAAAGGAGCTGCCATAAGGATGACAATGAGCATGTGCTTGTAAGAACAGACTGATGGCGCTAAAGCTGCCCAGGAGTCATCTGATTGGCAAATGACTGGCTTTGTGTGGGTTTTAAAGGTACTAGGATTGGAATAGCTCAGAATCTGCAAAGCATAGTGCTTCAGCTTAATATAAATCATAGTCTCTCTGTGTCAGGCATTGGGGAACTAGCAGGTTAAATAAAACAATGTAATAATTTACTATAGTGATAAATATAGACTAATTTATCTTTGTGCAGTAAACATGCATGACATTGTCAAAGAACACATAACATATACTAAAAAGAAGGAAAGTCAGAGAAGGACAAAGAGATGACAGGTATAGAGAGAAGACAAGACAAAGCAAGGGGAGCACTAGAAACAGGCTGAGCATGAGACAGCAAACCAGACACAGAGAAAGAACAACCAGAGGCGGCTGAGAGGAAGACAGGGGAAGAAAGCACAGATTCATCCTTCTTGGGAAACTTGGGATAACACCAAGTTGTCCCCGCATTCTTGCAGTCTTGGGCTCCCCAAGGACAACCCTAACAAAAAGGTTCAAGTGACAGGCAGGGTAAAGACAGACGATCCAGATGCTGAAAAGGAATGCCCCCACTCAGAGAGCCAACCTACCTTTGAAGTCTACTGTCTGCCTCCCCTGGTCCTCTCCCTTGGTCTCTAAGGACATGGGAACTTTTCCATCCATGATGTCCATCTTAATCATGCCCAGGTTAGTCAGGAGCAGCATGGGGTCGATGCCCTGCCCATTGCTCTTAATGTTCTCCAGCACCTTTAGACACTTGTATGATTTGAGCTCGCTTATGTTCTCCTCCAGAAAAAGGTTGTAGAGGCTCAAGTCATTGTAGCCTTCAGACTTGAAATGTAGAACATCAAAGGTAGGTAGGATTTCGTAGACTTTGAGAACATCTGTCTTCTGCCGGAACGGGACGAAGAGCGTGTAGATGACCACAGGAGCCAGCAGAGCATACACAAGGAGGTTAATCAAGCTGAGCAGCTGGAAGATGCCGACGGCAATGAGCTTGCACTGGAAGTGATCGGGAATGGTGCTGTCATTTCTCAGGACGCCCGACTTGATATTGCACAGAAACTCGTCTGAGAGTGAGGAGAGGCTGAAGTAATAGCTCAAGTACACACATGCTAATAGTATAACCACGAACGTCACCAGCCGGCAGCTAACGTATTTCATGATTAAATGACTAGAGTTCTTCTTTGTCTTCAAGTACTGCTCCACGATTGGGTACTTGAAGTGGCTTTCAGATATCTCCCACAGACTGAAAAACAGGGAAATAAAAATAATTCAGGCCCTTGCCAGTCTCATCAAATGTCAAAGGCATGGACATATTCAACACCGTGTCACTGAAAACTTCAAACACATGAACTATAACTTCATTTGGGTGCTAGTAAATAAAACAAAAACCTTTCTCCTTTTAACACTTTGAACATTTAAAATATTCTGAGTTCTTTGCCTGCATGTGTGCAGTGCCCTCAGGAGCCAGAAGAGGGTGTCAGATCCCCTGGAACTGGAGTTATAGATGTCTGTAAGCCAACATGTGGATGCTGGGAACCAAGCTCAGGCCTCTACAAGAACAGCAAGTGCCCATAACTGCTGAGTTGTCTCTCCAGGCTCCCTTTTAATATTTTAAAGACAGTCTGACTAATAAAATGTGAGTTAATACTTAGTAATTTTTAGGGCAATGCCTGGTACCTATGGCTCAATGTTTGTTAACTAAATTTATCAGATCCAGAAGAGCAGCTATTGGTTTATTATTGTTGTTTTTCAACAACAATCTCCCACTAAGAATGAAAAATAGTAAAAAATAAAAATAAAAATAAAATTCAACCCAACTAGAACGCATATGCTTTTCTACCAGGGAGGGTTGAGAACGTTCAGTGGACCCAAAGGGCACAGAGGACCCTGGCTCTCCTACAACAGACTGCAGTATGGTGTTTATCCATCATCTAGAAATAAAAGGTAGAAAAACAGGCAAATAAATGCATTTAGTTAACAGTGCTGCACTCAAATACAATGTCTGAAATTGTGATGGCTAGTTTTACGTCAATCTGACATAACCTAGAGTCACTTTAAGAACGGGAACCTCAATTGAGAAAAGGCTCCCTGCCAGACTGGCCCATGGACAAGCAGCTGTTGCTTTTCTTTTTTTTTTTTTTATTGATATGGGAGACCCAGGTCACTGGTGGCAGTGCCAGCCCTGGCCTGCTGGTGCTGGGTGCCGTAAAGAAGTGTGCTGAAGTACCCTTAAAGAGCAAGCCAGTAAGCAGCACAGCCCCCTGACTTGAGCTTTAGTTCCTGCCTCGAGGTTCCTGCCCTGCTTGAGTTCTTGCCCTGATTTCTTTCAATAATGGACTGTAATGTTGAACTGTTAGCTAAAATAAATCCTTTCTTCTTCAAGTTGCTTTTGGCCATGGTGTTTTATCACAGTGACAGAAAACTCTAAGACAAATATATTGCAGGTATTTTTAGAAATAAGACAGCTATTGCTATTATGGTTACTACTGGCAATGACAGAATCAGAGGAAGAATGTGAGAAGCCAGGGCCTCCACCTGCTGGGTCCACCTCTCTCATCCTTTCTATATGCTTGACTGCCTCAGAATCCTCCACACTTTCCCATTATAGTAGATCAAAGCAAGCAAGCAAGACCTTTGACCTGTCACCCCTGTGATAACTGCTTTTCAAAGGATGATACTGGACAGGGGAAAGAACACTGACCTGAGGACAGTGTGGTCTGAAAAGAGTAGGGGATCCTTGTCAGTTGGTGGTAGACACCCTCATTACCCTCTTCCCACTCCTGTCAATCAGCACCCTGGCCAGCATAGCAGGAGAAAGAGCAGGGAACTGACCCTAGGGTGACTACAGGCAGCCCTCTTGAGTTCTTACCTTTGCCCCACATTCTCATTCACTCCTGGGGGTCCAGGTCCATCTCTCAGGTCCAAATCCCGAGCGCTCTTGGCAGCCTTGATGGCGCGGTTGTAGACTTTGTCAAGTTCTTCCATGATAAACTTCAAGTCTGAGCAGAGATGTGGGGCTGCTGCGAAGCGCCAGAACAGTGGGGGCAGGTACAGGAGGATGGCAAACAACAGTAGGATGTAGGGGAAGAACTGCAAAGCAAGAGGGGTCGTGGTCAGCACACCCCCTCACAGCAGCAAGAACAAGCCACCATCAGCTTGCCTGGAAGCTGCTGACTGCCGGAAGCTGCACTTGTACTCATTGCAGGGACAAATGAGCATTCCCATTCCCACCATGGTGTCCATGGTCTCACGGACACCAGCTCGCTGCCTGCTGATGACTGCTTTTATCCGACCCAGAGCTGACCCTTTTCCATTCAACAGACACTAATTTGAAGGAACTGGTGACTGCATGTAGACAGATTGTGTTTCCTTCTAATCACAGAACAAGAAAAAAATTAATACGCTCTTCTGTCCATCAGCATGATTCCTTATCAGAGTCCCAATTAAGGAACAGGTAAATGTCAAAGTGGCCTTTGCTGGTTTTTTTTTTTTTTTTTTCCTTTCATTTATTTCTGGTTTTAAGCTCTAGGTTTTTTTGTTTTGTTTTTTTCTTCTTCAGAATTTGGGAAAATGCCAAAGGAACATTATGAAAAATTCTGGCTTCAGTGGACTGGTAACTATAAAGCAGTTAGAAAAAGCACCTAAAACCTACAGAGTGTGGAGGGAGGGAGAGACCCTCACAGCTGGAAGAGACTATCACTCTACAGTTGGACAGTATCCTGTACAGAAAAGCTTCACCACAATGACAGAATTACAGGGAGGCACCAGGGATGGTGGGCATACAGAGCAGGCCGGAGGAGACTCAGGTGTTACCAGAGTGAAGAGCACCTGGAACCCCAGTCCAACTAGGAGTTCAGGAAGACCTTAGCACTGAGCTCTACTGAAGCGAGGCCTTGTGACTTGGGCTGAGAGGTTACGGAGCCTCTGACCCTCAGTTTCCCCTTTTGAAGTGGTCAAGTGACACAGGCGTCATGAAGATGAAACTGGATCACTTGGGAAAAGATGTCAAACATGGCTAACGCCTGGCCTGTCAAAAGCACTCGAGACCACCAGGAAATATCAACAACAGGGCCTCCTACTTTAGCCCTTGAAATGACCCAAAGACCTGTGGGGATCACTCCTGTAGGAACAGGGAAGAGAAGCTTGGAGTGGTTTCTGGCCCAGATCACAAAGCTGGCAAGTGACTCAGTTAGAATACGACCCACAAGCTACAACTCTGCATGCTCTACACAGCATTACATTACAGTGTTCCAGTTCCACAGTTCACTGTAGTGACAACAGGGTCATTCTGACTGGACACACGATCCTCTCCTTAAACATACTTAGGAGTAGGCAGGACCAGTGCCAGCCTGTTGTAGGCATAAGGTTACTGTGTAATTCAAACGCTGATTTCATTACCCCCCCCCCAATATCTGGTTGCAATCCTTGTTCTGAGAATCTCTGGCCCCACTGTTGTGTAAACACTGCTCCCCAGTTGACCCCTGGTATGCCAATAAAGCAGCTTACAGCCAAATGCTGAGCAGGGGAGAGAACATTGGGCTGCACTTCCTGCCAGCCAGGGGAGGAAGAGTTAGAGGAGGAAGTAGGGGATTCAGCATGGGCAGAGGTCCAGGAGACATCAGGAGAGACAGCTCAACAGGAGAGCTACAAAATGCAAGTATCTCTGAGATTTACACTGGGGGTGGTGGGAGGCAGACTAGCTTAGAGAGTTAAGAATAGAGCTAAAACTGCTCAGTTGTTGTGCTGTGAAACTTATTAAACAAATAATATAATAGAGTCTCAATTACTTGGATAATAGGGTTAAGAGAGAAACTGAGAAACAAACACAATTTTATAAAAATAACCTTAACACCCTACTGTTAGGAAAGCAGTGCTGCAAAGGCCCTATGGGCATCCCAGGAACCCTGCCAGCTTTCCCCATGGGAACACCTTACATGTCCACAGCATTCATGTCAACTGACACACTACTATGAAGTAAAATCTCCAGGCTTTGGTTTGGACCTCACTAGTTTTTCCACGGCTGCCCTCTTTCCTGCTCTTAGACCTGCCCCAGGCACCACCCATCATTCCTACAGCTCTTGTGGCTTCATAGTTCCCTTGGTTTTTGTCAAAAGCCCTTGGATTTCTTTTTTTCACAGAAATGTTTCATTTGTCTTTAAATGCACGAAGCAACACAGACAGGTTTAGAAAGGAAATGGGTTGTGCTGATACGGTTACCAACACATGAAAAAACGAATTTGCACGAGCTTCTCTGTTACTAACCCTGAAACAGGGTCCAGTGGCTGGTCTAATAACCACCACAGTTCTGAAGCTGAGTTCCATCCAGATAGAAAGTCCCTTCCCTGGGTAACAAAGCCCTACACGTAATTTTCAACGTTAAACTCTAGTAGAAGGTAATGAGAAATAGGGGATCATCTGTTCACAAACACCCGGAAGCTCCCATTAGCCCTTCCTGGGAATCCCTAACACAGAAGAAGACAGAGAAGGAAACCCAATGGCCCCAAAGTCTGCAGTGGCCCCCCACATGGCTATACTTCGGGGCTCCCACAGGACGAGGTCCTTGAGTGCTCCCCTGATTTGCAAAGGGCTGACACACACTGGCTCACATCACAGGCTGGACATGGCTGAACTACACTACGGCTGATGTGGGTACAGCTGGCTGTGCTCACTCCATCCTTGCCTGTTCTAGCCACTGTCTATCATTATAAAAATGAAACTGAAAGCCAGGCCGTTCCCAGCACTCAGACAGTGAAGCAGTGTCTCTGAACCACAGGCGGCAGAAATGCTTCTCTTTTTTTCCCCCATTAGTTTATTTATTTAATTACTTTACAGTGATTGCAGCCTCCTCTCTCTTCTCCTCCCAGTCCTACCCTCAGTCCCTTCTTCCCATCCCCCCTTTTCCTCTGAAAAGGGAAGCCCCCGCCCCAAGGGTACCAACTTACCCTGGCACATCAAGTCACAGCAGGACTAAGCATATCCTCTCCCACTGAGGCCAGACAGGGCAGTCCAGCTAGGGCTTGTGAAATATGTTAATGGGTCTTGTTTGTTTTGAGGTAATCTGAAGAACAGCATTTACCTCAGGTTTCCCCCTAAAGTAACCTGGGTCTAACGTACCCAGGGAGTGTGGCATCCAGCTCAGGAAGCAGTAGAGCATGGTTCACTGTTCATTAGAAAAACAGCTGCTTAAAGGTGTTACACGGAGATGTTCACAGCTTTCCTAAACCTCCTTGTGCCCTGGTCACCTCTGCAGGAATGCACAGGAATGCCTTGTTTGCTGGTCTTCCCTAGACTTAAACTCTCCCACCCCCACCGAAAATAAAGAGAGCACTCTACATGCTTCCACAAGGCAGTCAACTCAACAGAAATGCAGATCCAAATCTTCATCAGATTAAGAACATGGAGAATCGCCATGGTGTCCGTGTGAGGGCAAAGCTTGGTTGCCGGTGCTTCCTGCTCCATCCTAGGTCAGGGGTTCACATCACCCAAGGCTCTGACTGTACCCCTTGGTACAATGTCCCCGCCGACTGGCACTGCGCTCTTCCTAACAGTAAGACCCCTCATGGAAAGCCAAGCAGCCATTCCGGCTGCAACTCTCAGCCTCTCTACTTTAAAAATTGTGTTGTTCTTGGAAGGGGTTGTGGCTACAACCCCTTGACCAGGGGTACAGTTGGAGGCAGCCTTGGGAGCTGGAAAAAACACTTCAAGATGGAGTCGCACCCTGACCTCAAGGTCTGAAAGGTGCTGGCCATCAACTTGAAGGAAGAACAGTTGAGACTTGGTTCATCCAGTGTTCCTTGGAGGAGGAGAAGGATGAGGTGACCTAGAACAACCTCTCTCCATGGTCCAGCTCTTTCCTCATCTAAGACCAAGAGCCATGCAAACAGCTAAGCAATGCTCCGCAAGGATATGCCACTTGTCTTAAAGCAATGAATGTAGGCTGGGGTGTGGATTCAGAAACATTCCTGGGCATCTGCTCTGTGCTTGGCAGTGCACAGGGAACACGACCCCCACTCCCCATCTCCCACTGGTTCAAGTAGCAGCACCTTCCCAAAGATCACACAGCTTAACAATTAGAAATCAAAACATAACACCTGAAGTGAGCTACAGACAAGATGGAAGCATCTCCGCAGTCCCTGTCCTCCTATACCCTGGCCCCCCTTGACCAGGGGTACATTTGGAGGCAGCCTTGGGAGCTGGAAAAAACACTTCATTAGAGCCGCACCCTGACCTCAAGGTCTGAAAGGTGCTGGCCGCCAACTTGAAGGAAGAACAGTTGAGACTTGGCTCATCCGGCGTTCCTTGGAGGAGGAGATGTGCCCTCCCTTTGCCCGGCTGCAGCAGTCCACCCGGGATGACACCTTTTCTTGTGCCTCCCACACAGGCCACTGCCGGCCGCCAAGCTGGAGATAAGGCTGGTTCCCATCAATCCCTCGGAGTCCTCAACCAGCTGTGAGCACAACTGCTGATTCTCAATGCCCCATGGAGCCACTCCAACAGGTGCACGACCACCCTTTCCGACTCCTGGCTGCACCAAACTCACCAAAATGCTGGATGCTTTCCAGAGACTCAGGGTCAATGCTTCAACACCCGGGTACCAAGACAGAGGGCACTGGACACAAATGGCAGCTGACAAATCAAGCTGAGTCTCCAACCAAGGTGTCCTGTAGACCCTGCAGGGCCTCACCCCACAAGCTAGAGATTGTGGTTACAATTTTTTTAACGCCCTCTCTCCAGAGGGCGCCTGTACCCTAGGCTGGTTATCAGTTCAACATGTAGCAGAGGATGAGGCTGATCTTCTTGGCTCCACATCCCAAGGGCTGAGTACAGGCCTGACACACCAACAGAACAACCACTTTTCCTGGGTTCTTTTTCCTTTTGGTTTTGTTTTCTGATACAGGATCTCACTCTATAGTCCAGGCTAGCCAGGAACTTGAAGAGTCCAACCTGTCTCAGCCTACCTGGTGCTGAGATTAACTGGTTTACACTGCTAGCTTTGTGACCATTCCTTATCATTCATTTTGTGCCTATGAATATTCTTGTTTTATTTTTTTTTTTGGGGGGGGGTTATTAGTGCTTCTCAAAATGCTTCT